ACGATTAATAGATATTGTCCTCTTTGGGCTTTCCCTTTTGAGCTTCCCCTCAAGGCTTTAACACGCGTCTACTAGGGAGAGGTTTCCACACCCTTATAAGGAATGCTTCGTTCCTCTCTCCAACCGATGTGTGGTCTCACATTCCTCCTCACAGCGGTTGGCCATTCTAATAAATCAAGCCATCTTGAGTTCTCTCAACCTATGGTTCTATGCCCTCTCTCTCTCTCTACTTTCTCTCTTAAAGGTCTATTCTAATATTCCCCGTCTTTCCTCCCACTCCTGCACCATTCCCTCTATAAAGATCTTTAACCACTTAAGTTTTAAAGTAGGCTCAACTGATGAGTATATTTTCTCTCATTCTTGAAAGAAATAACAAACTTAGAAATTGAAATGTTTACAAATCACCCATCACGAATAATTCTCCAGAAACTAAAATCCGCCGATATAAAGAGTAACAAAAGAACCATGCTTAAATACAAAGCGAAAATCTCGCTAATCGCAAAATAAAATCTATCGGAAAGACCCGAGGGACGAACTTACATCCACCATCTACCTAATTCATAAATCAAACTTACATTAATCATACATTACATTCATAACGTTTCATAATATCGACCCCATTCTACTAATGCAATCCTTGGCTTATATGATTATGGCTATGCTCAGGACATCAAGCATTGATAAATAACGTATGATGATAAATAGGATAAGATTTCATATTGTTCGACATGAAAATGAGGTTGAAGATGCTCGACAATGACGTAGATTCTTCTACATCTAATATTATAATACCATGATTGTAAGGCTACAGATTAATCGAGGCCTTTGACAGAATGACATGATTCAAGAACAACATACAAGAAATATGAAAAATAAAGTCGCTAGCTTTCGCCACGATTCCGATCATTGCAAACAGTAACAGTATCAATTACGAGCCATTGATATAAGAGATCAAGAGACTGGTAATGAGATAAAAGTACTTTTCATCATTCCAAATGTCATCCCAAACTATAGGATTGAGAGAAATTCATTTATAGCCCCTTCCCAAGAAAGGATTATAACCTGATATGAAAGGGTTTTGTTGGAGAACATTATCATGTTATTTTGGTATTTGTTTGTTTTGTTTAGTTTCTCTTCTTTTCTTTTTTTTTTTTAGCACAATAAACATGGAGTTAAGGTTTAAACTTTTGGCATCAAGGGAAGAATTTAGGTGGTGCTTAAACAGTTTTGTTTGGTTTATTTCTTCAAGAAATCATGTTTTCATTAAGACGAATGAAAGAAGGGCAAACTGAAAAACCAAGCACGAGAAAAAGAAAAGGTGTAACAGCCCAAGCACACCATTAGCAGATATTGTCCGCTTTGGCGGTTTTAAAACACGTCTACTAAGGAGAGGTTTCCACATCCGTCTAAGGAATATTTCGTTTTTCTCTTCATCCGATGTGAGATCTCACAATCCACCCCCTTCGGAGCCCGATGTCCTCGCTGGCACACCGTCCGGTGTCTAGCTTTGATACCATTTATAACAGCTCAAACCCACCACTAGCAAATATTGTCGCTTTGACCCATTACGTATCACCGTCAGTCTCACGATTTTAAAATGTGTCTACTAGGGAGAGGTTTCCACATTCTTACAAGGAATACTTTATTTTCCTCTCCAACCGATGTGGGATCTCACAATCCACCCCTCTTTGGGGCCCAATGTCCTCGCTGGCACACCACTCAGTATTTGGCTTTGATACCATTTATAATAGTCCAAGCGCACCACTAGCAAATATTGTCTGCTTTAACCCTGTTACATATTGTCGTTAGCCTCACGATTTTAAAACGTGTTTACTATGGAAAGATTTCCACACCCTTATAAGGAATACTTTGTTTCCCTCACGGTTTTAGATCCTACATCGCATAATGGTATGATATTGTCCACTTTAAACATGTGCTCTCATGATTTTGCTTTTGGTTTTCCCAAAAGGCCTCATGCCAATGAAGATAGTATTCCTTACCTATAAACCCATGATCAACCCCTTAATTAGCCGATGTGGGACTCCTCTCTCAACAATCCTCTCCTCGAACAAAGTACACTATAGAGCCTCCCTTGATGCCTATGGAGCCCTCGAATAGCCTCCCCTTAATCAAGACTCGACTCCTTCTCTAGAGAAGCAAAGTACACCCTTTGTTCTACACTTGAGTCACTTTTGACCAACACTTTGAGGCTCACAACTTCTTTTTTCGACATTTGAGGATTTTATTGTCATAACTAAGTTACATGTCCTAATAGTATGTTAGAAACCACGACTCTCCACAATGGTATGATCCTGTCATAAGATCAATTCAATGTGGAAGCCTGTTAAATAATAAATTAAAACATAAGAACTCTGAGTTGTCCCATGACCGTCCTTTCCACCGTGCTTATCACTACCATGCTACAGCCTTACCCTTACCTAAAAATCATTTTAAAACAAGGTGAGTATGAAAATACTCAATAAGGCTCTCCTCTATTGGGGCCAAACATGCAAACTTTCATATAGTTCATCAATCAAAATCAAGAGACTTTGGTGGTTGATTACTTGTAACACACAACGCGTAATATACTCACCTAAAATAGTTTTCAGCAATCACTCTTTAATGATCAATAGTTGTTGGTTACCCAACACACACAACATGTAACCCTTACCACGTTTATAAATTTCAGCAATCACCTATGTGACCAATAGTGGCTGGTTACCAATACACACCGCGTGTAACCCTTACCACATTTATTTCATTCAAAAATCATAAAGCATGCACAAATGCAGTCCCAAAACAATTATTTTCATGATCACTATGCATGACAACAAACAACAACTTCCATATAATGACGTACACATCCAACCGTATTTTAGAAAACAAAACAGGGTAGTTTCAATAGGAAAGTCTCTTACTTGGAACACTTCCCTCAATCGCTACTAGAATTATCGATCCAACTCTGACTTAAACCGAACCTACATCAATAGATTTACTAATCACTAATCAGGGCGTTATACAGAGGGATCTAATCACAATATTTCCTTTCTTTTTTTGTTGCCACTGTGCACCGCTATAGCAACAGTAGCAGCCATCACCGCCGAAAAGAGTAAACAGTTAGTTTCGTGAGTCTTGATACTTTTAGCCCAATCTCGATTATGGATTCGACGTACCACTAATACTTACCTCTAACTTCCAATATTCTAATCAAGGTACCAAAGTGGGAAGTCGAAGCAGCAACCACGGACCTGTGTTGAGAAAGTAGGAATTGAGACCACATATTCCATTAGAGAACGGTGAGTGATAAAACCCAACGAATTTTAGAGTTGTTATGCCTTGTAGTTTAGATTGATTGGTAAATCTATTGATGCAGATTCGGTCTAAGTCAGAGTTGAACCGATGTTTCTAGTAGCGATTAAGGGAAGCGTTCCAAGTAAGGGACTCTCCTATTGAAATTAAATTTTTTTGTTTTCTAAAATACGGTTGGATGTGTATGCCATCATATGGATTGTTATATGGATGTTGTTGTTTGTTGTCATGCCCATTGATCATGAAAATAATTGTTTTGAAACTGCATTTGTGCATGTTATGATATTTTAATGAAATAAATGTGGTAAGGGTTACACGTGTGCATCGAGTAACCAACCACTATTGGACACTAAGGAGTGATTGCTAAAAACTATTTTAGTTGAGTAGCTTATGCATTGTGTGTTACGAGTAATCAACCACCGAGCTCCCTTTATTTTGATTGATGAACTATATGACAGTTTGCATGTCTAACCCCAATAGGGGAGAGCCTTATTGAGAATTTTTATATTGACCTATTTTAAAATGATTTTCAGGTAAGGACAATGTTGTAGCATGGGAGTGATGAGCAGGGTGAAAAGGACGATCATGCGACAACTTAGAGTTTTATGTTTTAATTTATTATTTAAGACGTTTCTGCATTAAACTGATTTTATTATTTTAAGTTTTATTCGAACATTCCTAGTTTATACTAGGAAATGTTGGAATACTGTCGTTTCCTTTAATTACCTTATTATGAAATTATTTGGTTAAATTGCATGTTTTAAATTATTTAAAAAGGGGCACCCAAGGTTTTCTGGTAAATTATCTTCCGCATATTTTCATGTACTTTAAAATATTTTTTGGATGTAAAGTGACAGACTCCGACCGATGCGTGTGCGGAAAGTCGAGTCGTTACAAATGGCATCAGAGCCAAATGCCGAGTGGTGTGCCAGTAAGGATGTTGAGCCCGAAGGGAGGTGGGATTGTGAGATCCCACATTGGTTGGAGATGAGAATAAAACAGTCCTTATAAAGGAGTGAAAACCTCTCCCTAATGGACACGTTTTAAAACCTTGAAGGGAAGCCTGGAAAGGAAAGCCCAAAGAGAACAATATCTACTAACAGTGGGCTTAGGCTATTACAAATGGTATTAGAGCCAGACACCGGGCAGTGTGCCAGCAAGGATGTTGGGCCCTCAAGGGGGATGGATTGTAAAATCTCACATTCGTTAGAGAGGGGAACAAAGCATTTCTTATAGGGATGTGAAATCCTCTCCTAAGCAGACTTGTTTTAAAACCGTGAGCTTGATAGCGATACGTAACGGACCAAAGTGGACAATATCTACTAGCAGTGAGCTTGGGGTGTTACAAAAGGACTCGATATAAGCTACTGAAACGGAGTTCAATCTAAAAAAACAAGATTAAGCNTTTTTTCAACCTATGATGTTGATAAGGTTGAAAATTGTCTCCATAATTGAAATGATACACTTGGCATGACATATAAACATTTCATTGAAGTATTGCTCTATTATATTGCCTGAAAGAATGAGTGAAATTCTTGTATCTGATTAAAAATGTTAGCATAATTGAAATCTTTCAATTTTCTTAATGTATTGAGCTATCTTGTCCGAGTAAGATTAAGTGTTAGCAGAAGTTCTTTGAATGATGCAGAGTAAGATGAATTTTTTATTATTTCCTTTACTTCATTTTCTTAAAACTTTTGTTTTCTACTTCTATTTTGTAAAAGTCGCGAGTTTACTCATCGAGTTAAGTCAGTATCGATGGCCAAGTTTACTGTCCAAGAAGTTGAAGCACTTCAAAATGGTGGCAACCAGGTAATTGAAAAATGTTGCTTTTTCTGTATTTTGCATGTATGTTCTTTCCCTTTAATTTTTTTTTTAAAATATCAAAATATCTTTCTAGCGAGCAAGGGAAACCTATTTGAAGGATTGGGACTTTCAAAGGCAGCGATTGCCTGGTAACAGGTATGATATTTTTTTCATTTGTTTCTAAGACGACGAGCTTTTGTTATTAGACTAAAGAGCTGCTTTTGATAGTAGACTAAACGGCCCGCATGATATTCATCTTGCAGCAACATTGAAAAAATTCGGGAATTTATAAAGAATGTATATGTTGATAGAAAATATGCTGTTGGAAGAACATCCGAGAAGCCTCCTAGAGATATGCAGGTATTTTCTTTTAACCCAACGCCCAAAAAAAAAAAAAAAAAAAAAAAAATTGTCTGGCCATATAGTTGTACCCTTCACCTTAAAGGGAGGGTTCAAGAGCACCTCGTCCATCCAAGCTCAGCAATCTTTGTGCCACACCCAACAAATCTCAAATGATTTCAACTAGCAATTCCAATAAAAGAGAGCAAACTAAAACCCTAGAAAAGAAATCAAGATCTTGTGCCTCCTATGGAGAATGCACCATTGTGAGAACAAAACTAGGGAAGAGTGTCTTTGATCGTGATCCATGGTATTGACTCTCCCATGTAGAATCTTAACCTTCTTTAGTATTTTAACGTTCTAGGGAGGGCAAAAACAAGTTCGGGGGGATGACGAGAAGCCCCTAGAAGGATATGTGCCCTAAATTCAACATCTCTTCTCCCAGGAGCCATGAATTTAATTTGAGGAATGGAAATAATGGAAATAAGATTTGTCGCCTCTCTACTCGCTTTCCAAAGATTGCTTTCCAAAGTTTTTACAAGGAAAAGATTGCTTTCCAAAGGCTTTACAAGGGATTCTTGAACTATCATCAACACCAACTCAAAAGGGGTGATACCTAGACCTCTAAACTCGACCGGCTTTTGTACCAATTCCTACTCAACTAAGTGGGAACCTTTCCTTTCACTCGTCCCTTTCCAAACGAAATCTCTCATCCACTCTCAACTTTCTACCTAACCCCAAAAGGAATTGTGAATAGGGAGATGAAGTAACTTGGAATTAAGCTATGTTCATATCGGCACGTATTTGTTTCGAGTGTTGAAGTTCAAGAACACAGGGGAGATTGATGATTGGCCTTGCATGGTCTACTATGCTGGATTCAAGCTCTTGCTTCAGAAATGTCATTAATTATGGACCCTAGAAACAAGTGGGAATTACATTCAGAACTCGAGACTCGTGGGACCTACAAGGGGTGAAAAGAACAACGGATCTAAAAAAGAAGAAAAGAAAATCCAGAAAAAACAAGAAACCAGATAAAACAATGAAGATCAAAGTGCCCAAAGAAGAAACGGACAATAATCCTGGAAGCAAACCATGACAGTGACGAGCCACTGATGAAGCTAGACCAAAGAAAGCATAATCAGCCACTGTTAAGCCAAGGGTTATGACAAAGGGGAAAAATGGTATTGTTCTATGTCACGCAACGAGTACCTCAAATAGTTGATGAGAATCACTATTTATAAGGTGAAGAGCTGAAGCTTACAGATTTCTCAATGAAATAGGATTCATTATTTTAGAAAAGGGGAGTTATGTGCAAGAAGATTCGTGTCAATGAATGAACTCAAACCAAGCATGCTAAACCAGCTTTTCATTGAGAAAAATGAAAGAATACAACAGGGGTATATAATACAACAGCTCAGTAGTAGGAGCCACCTAGAAACTAAATAACCATGTAAAAAAGGACCGGATTTCACAAGAATACCGGCGTAAGGAATAGTTGCAACGATCAAACCGCTTCCGAGACTTCTTAGTTCACCTATTTTTCTCTCAAGCCAAATCCTCCACAATATGGCAAAGAAAGTAGAGGACCAAAAGATAAGGCCCTTGTCACAAAAGGCTGGATGGGAATTATCCCATCAATCATAAACCAACAAGCATTTTTCTGAGCCAATTGAACGCCAGAGGACTCCAGAAATCTCAGATCAAACTAGCAAATAGCAAAGTTGACAAATTTGAAGGACGTGCCAGGTGTCTTGGGCATGCTTGTCCAAGGCAATGTCGCCTATGGCCGCATGCCAAAACCATCCACAGCCACCCAATGTCAATGTCATGTAATTAGTTTTGTTGTTTGTCTTCATTTGTATGTCACTTTGCTAGTGTATGACTCCTCGACCTTTGACATTTCACGCCTATCAGTTTGGAAATGCATTATAATCTACTATAGAAGGACCAAGTAGTCATCTAACTCGATCAAGTGTTGCATAATTTCTAACCAACATGTTTTAATGCAATTGACATCTACAAAGCTTTGTTTTAAAATGTTTGACTTATTTTCTCTCTTAAATTTTATAAAACTAATTTGTCTCAAAATGTGAGAAGAGGCTTGACTAACCAATTTTGTACCACTAATTTGTTCGTTGGGTTAGAATAAGTATTGCACAATCACTAATCCAATAGAATGCGATGTGACAAGTGGTATCAAAGCTTAGTTAGCTCCTTGGCCCATTGAGAACGAGAAGATGTCAGTGACAAAGCAATTAGCTAAATACATGTCGACCAACTCACATCGAATTCACGTCGGGTCGAGCTCACCTATAGAGAATCATACCTTGGGTCGATCTCATGTCGAGTTCAATAAGTTGAAGATTTCAAAACTTAGGGCTTTCAATAGGAACTATGATGTTAAGGAACTCAAAAAATTCATCTTCAATGTCGAGCAATACTTCAAGGCTATAGGGACTTGTTCAAAAAAGCTTAAGATTTCCTTAGCCACTAAGAATCTCAAAGATGATGTAAAATTGTGGTGTTGTTTGAAGGTGAATGATATTCATAATGGCTTATGTACCATCAATTCATAATGGAGGGACTGACTAACATTTTCAAAGCATGAATGTTAACCCATCTCGAGAGCTTTATCACCCAAGAAGCTATCAAATAGGGCTCTTACAATTTCTTCTATGCAAAGGCCCCATAGACTTTACACATGCCCCCACGGAGCTACTCTTACTTTTTCGATCAACCAAAGTTGAGGTCAAAGCAAGCTCGATGGCAAGAGTCTTCAAATATAGGACAAGAAAGAGTAATAAAGTTGTCGATGCCCTAAGCCAAAAGGGCGAACATGTGACCCTGTACATGTTAGCCCACATCCATGCAAGCAACGTCAGTGTCTACGAAGTATGATTTTGTACGGTTGACTTGTTCGTTGGGTTATAACAAGTGTCATAGTCCTATTGTTAAAAGAGTACAATTATGACACCAGGCACAACAATAGCTAATAGGGTCTCGAGGCATTCTACATAATTCAAGTCAAAACACTTGGCTCAAGTAGGTGTAGTGTCCCTTAATGTGTGCATGAAGACGAAGATGAACAATTGACTCAAACGACCCATGAAAATCACATGATTTCTTGAAGTATTGGTCTGACTAATATTGGCCAAGCAAATGGGAAAATTTGATAATTAAGCATATACACCATATACTTAGACAACTGATATCAAAAAATGGATAAGATCAGCAATACGACATTTCGGTAAGCACGTGAGTGCATGGGAAGGCTCTGAAGACACCACAAAACCCTTTTCTAATTAGGTTACGACCACACATCTTATAGTAAAAAAATGTATCCTTTCCTATTCGGTTACAGAGGACGGGAGACCAATAATGAGTAAAAAGAGATCGAAAATAACAAATAAGCCTTCGAAATATAGCCATGGCATGATAAAAAATAATAATAAGAACCCGATAATAGTCATAACCCTAAACCATCAAGAAAAGCTCAATATTCAACATTCATCAACGCCATAGTTATCCCGAAAAGATATTAACAAAATAGAAGAACTTATTACCTTGTTTAAATAATTCAACTGAATAATTATGCACGAGATCGCAACCATTACAAAGACCCATGTTTGGAAGTGAGCAACCTGACTCCAACCCTCCAACGTGAGCTTTATCGCAATGCCAATAGCTTTGATGCTCATTACCTGCAAACCCGTGCACAAAGTTGATCTCTAACATACAACTCCTTCGAAGTATAAATGAAGAGAATAAACAGATAGATTCAGCATGTAAAAGGCCAACGGAGACTGACCGTCAACGATCCAATTATGGAACATATCCCAACGTAAATGAGTATGTTCGTCTGTCCATAGCGGGGTTCACAATACAACACCAAGAACAACACAATAGCTATCACCGAGGCCGTATAGAGAAGGAAAGCTGAACCAAACACATCAGAATAATAAAAAAGAAGCTCCACGCAGTAAGACACACATCAGAATATGTTCAATAGTTTACTTGGTTGAATAGCTAGATCCCATATCTCGTCTACCGAACTCGGAGTACGTTCACCAGGTGCATGGAGCACAATCATTGTAGACCCAACAACACATAAAACACACCCCAATACACCCATTTTCTGCAATCTTTCCTTCAAGAAAAAATGTGCAAGTACAGCGCTGCCAACACAATAAACACAGAGGAAAATCATTTGGATAACGACATTAAAGTCGAGAAATTCAAACTTAAATCAACATCTCATTGAAGCTTGTTGAATTAAGACCTCACCTAACAATTATACTTATTGCTCCAAGTGGTGTCACAAGAATGGCAGGGGCATAAACATAAGCCACAAAATTTGAAAATTCCCCAACAATCACTGCACATTGTACACATCGAAGTAATCAATCAATTTTCGATGTTTTAAAAAGAGCGAAATATTCAGGGATTCTCTTTAAAGTTGGATTCAAGTCTTGAAACTTATGAACTTAATTTTCGATGCTTTAAAAAGAGCGAAATATTCAGGGATTCTCTTTAAAGTTGGATTCAAGTCTTGAAACTTATGAACTTAAAACCCTTATCGTCTCTTGAAGCTGTCTCGAGGTGGACGAATCACTCGGAGATTAATGGTAACAAACAAGAACGAAAGAACTGAAAGTGCAGATAGTTTAAATTCAAGACTCACTGGTAATCATGCCGATCCACCAAAGTGGCTCTAATAGATATCCATATCCACCAGAACCTAAAATTCGTTAACCAGACAAATTCCATCAGCATAAACCCTAAGCAGGACACTATGAACAGTGCAGCCTGCCAATTAGTAACAAAAAGGAGAAACGACAATCTACAACCATCAATTATAAGCATTAACAAGATGAACAAAACAAATTGTTTAAGAGCTAAACAACTGAAATTAATCACAAATCATCGGAATGTCAGCGAAATCAATCGAAGCAAGGATAATAAACCCCATCAAGAACAAAATTGAAGGAACCCCAGATCAAAAAACGAGCAAAAATTTAGAGGGTCGAA